CTCTCTGACCTGCCTCTCTGTCCCACTCAGGGCTTCCCACCACACCGGCTGCCCCCCGGCTGCCCCCCACAGAGATGCTGCCTCCTCTGTCCCCTCCTCGAGGTCTGGTGGCAGTGAGGACACCTCGGGGTGTGCTCCTGCACTGGGATCCCCCAGAACTGGTCCCTCAGATACTGGATGGCTACGTCCTAGAGGGACGACAAGGCTCTCAAGGCTGGGAGGTGCTGGACCGGGCTGTGGCCGGCTCTGACGTACAACTGCTTGTGCCAGGCCTCATCAAGGTACATGTGGGAGGCCTGGTTCCTTCATGCTGCTGTGTTGCCCACATCTTCTCATCTTCTCACCCTGCTGGGTTCACCACCTCCCACATCCTACCTCACTCCTGCCTCCCAACTACATCGTCTTCCACTGGGGCCAGGGTGGGTGATGCCAGGCCCTGACTCTCTTTTCTGAACCCGCAGGATGTTCTCTATGAGTTCCGCCTGGTGGCCTTTGCCGGGAGCTACGTCAGTGATCCCAGCAACTCAGCCAACATCTCCACCATCGGTGAGAACCTGCTGCGAGGGAAGGCTGAGGGGTCGCCAGGGTCTGGAATCTGGAACCGGCTGACCCCCTCTGACCCTCCGTCTCTGCCTGGCCAGGCCTGGAGGTCTACCCATCACGCACTCAGCTGCCCGGCCTCCTGCCCCAGCCAGTGCTGGCAGGTGTGGTGGGTGGGGTCTGCTTCCTGGGTGTGGCTGTCCTCGTGAGCATCCTGGCCGCCTGTCTCATGAACCGGCGCAGGGCTGCCCGCCGACGCCGTAAGCGCCTGCGCCAAGGTAGGCCTGGATGCTTCAGCCTTGTCCCCAATGCCTGAGGATCAGCTCCTCCATCCCGCCCAGGCCTGCATCAGGGGTGGCCTAGGCGTTCCCAGCCCTGTGGGGTTGCACACCTGGAATGGGGTGAGGGAGGGCCAGGCAGGCGCTGCTTTTGCCTCTGTGTCACTTCTTGTGCACATTCTGTTACAGAGCCACCTCTCCTCTTCTCTCCGTTGGGGAAGTCAGCTTCACAGTAAGTCGCCCCTCGCTGCTGGTGGCTTTTTCTGCTTCCTTTTGTGCACCTTGGCAAGCGGTGGGAGGGCTGGAACCAGCTGTTGGAGGGAGGGCTGGATGGAAAGAATTCTGGCCCCAGCTGTTCTATATTGCCTGCACTGGCCCCTATATTGCCTGTTGGTCCTGTGCAAGCTTGCTCTCCCTAGTTCTCTCCATTTGTGCCCCGAACCTCCCAAGGTTGGCTGGCTCCTGGGAGAGGGCAGAATGCCTGCTTACAGACCCCACTCTCCTTGGCTTTCTCCAGCTCTGCTCCCGGCTCGGGCAGCCCTGACAGCGTGGCGAAGCTGAAGCTCCAGGGTTCAGAAGTCCCCAGCCTGCGCCAAAGCCTCCTCTGGGGAGAGCCCGCCCGCCCTGCCAGCCCCCATCCGGACCCACCACCCAGCCGTGGACCTTTGCCTCTGGAGCCCATTAGCCGGGGCCCAGATGGGCGTTTTGTGATGGGACCCACGGTTGTGCCCCCACATGAAAAGCCGGGCCCAGAGCGGGTGGAACCTGGGGCCCCAGCCCGGCTGCTGGCCCGGTCCTACAACTGCAGCAGCAGCAGTCCCAGTGGGGCGCCACAGCCCCTCTGCATTGCAGACATCAGCCCTGTGGGACCCCCTCCAGCAGCCCCGCCCAGCCCCCTGCCGGGTCCTGGATCCCTGCTGCAATATCTGAGCCTCCCCTTCTTCCGGGAGATGAATGTGGATGAAGACTGGCCTCCTCTTGAGGAGCCTAGCCCTGCCCCACCTCCGGATTATATGGATACCCGGCCCTGCCCTATCTCCTCACTCCTTCGCCCACCAGACTCCCCCTTGACATCTCCCAGGACAGGTCATCCTGGGGCTATGGCAGGGGCTGGCAGTGCCCCCGAGCCCCCTTATACGGCTCTGGCTGACTGGACCCTCCGGGAGCGGCTGCTGCCAGGTCTTCTCCCTGCTGCCCCTCGGGGCAGCCTCACCAGCCAGAGCAGCGGGCGAGGCAGTGCCTCCTTCCTGCGGCCCCCGTCCACAGCGCCCTCTGCTGGAGGCAGCTACCTCAGCCCTGCTCCAGGGGACACCAGCAGCTGGGCCAGCGGTCCTGAGAGGTGGCCGCGAAGGGAGCACGTGATGACCGTCAGCAAGAGGTGAGGGCGGCACCCCCCTGCCCAGTCCTGCCCACCCCTCTCCCAGGACCCTGTACTTTCTGCTCTGTCCTGGGGAACTTGTGTCCCCTTCAGCAGCTTTTTGCTGAGGTCCAGAGAGTCTCAGGGCCCAAGACCCCAAGCTGAGTGTGACAATGCCCTCCCCCCATTTCCTCACCCACGCTGTCCACAGGAGGAACACGTCTGTGGACGAGAACTACGAATGGGACTCCGAATTCCCTGGGGACATGGAATTGCTGGAGACTTTGCACCTGGGCTTGGCAGGCTCCAGGCTCCGAGCTGACGTTGAACCAGAGCTAGGTGTGTGAGCCCTCCAGCAAGGCCAGCACCCCTGGCTGCATGTCCCACTGCAGGATGCAGAAGTCACCTCTGTGCCTGCGCTCCTGGTTTCTCTGCTGCAGACTGACCAGTCCCCTTGGCTCTCCTGTGCTGGAGGGCCCCAAGGAGCTTCATGTCTGAGCCCTTGACCCGGGGAACCTTAAGACTCCTCCCCTCACTGTGCTGACCTCTTCTTGCAGGCACAAAGAGTCCAGAGGAGGGCTGCCTCCTGAACACTGCCCAGGCCTCTGGCCCCGAGGCCCGCTGTGCTGCCCTTCGGGAGGAATTCTTGGCTTTCCGCCGCCGCCGAGATGCCTCTAGGGCCCGACTGCCGGTCTACAGGCAGCCAGTCCCGCACCCTGAACAGGCCACTCTGCTGTGAATGCCCCTAACATAAGCCAAGACGAAGGCAGGTGGGCCTGCTGAAGAGGCCCCCCAGCTTAGCGCACTGAGCCTGCCCGTGTAGTGTGCCCAGGCCCAGAACCTAACAGTTGGCCATGGGTGAGCTTGGTCTGAGACGTGCACGTTGGCTACGTGCTAATCCCCCTGGTGAGCCTGGGGATTAGAACAGGGATCCTGGATCTGCCCGTGTGTGTGTGTGTGTGTGCGTGCGTGTGTGTGTGTGTGTTGCTTGTGGTGTGGGTGGTTTTTTACATGTGAATAAAGAAAGTGAAAAATGTTTCCTTGTGTTTCCTGGTTTTGAATCTGGGGACAGAGAGAGGTGGGAAAATTCCTGAGCTCTTAAACAGGAGGGGAGGGGAAGCTTCCCGAACAAGTGATTACATTCAACCATCATTCCATCATTTCAAAAGCATTTGTGGAGGAGCAGGCATTTGGCACAGCCTGTAAAATGCCACGGGGGATCCCTGCATCCTGTATCACACCTGGGTTCAAGTGCTGGCTTTGCTTTTTGAGTCCAGCTTCCTGCTAGCATGCACATTCAGGGCAGGGATCAGGGCCCAAGTCCTGGTGTCCCTGCTACTCACTGGGAGACCACGGAGACCCACTGCCACCCACTGGGAGACCACGGAGACCCACTGCCACCCACTGGGAGACCACGGAGCCCACTGCCGCCCACTGGGACACCCAGCTAGCCTGGTCCAGCTATGGCAGATGTAAACATCTGGGGAGTGAACAAGCAGAAGTTCTCCTTGTCTCTCTGCTTTTCAAATAGAATGAAAATATATCATTTAAAAGTATTTGTTGAATGCTTCCCAAGGTCAGTTACTAAACAGCAACCATTAAAACTTGAAAAGACAAAGTTCACGCAGACCTGCCTTTGCCCAAGGGAGTTCTTGTCAGTAAGGGGACAATAAAGAAATAGTTACGGGGTGATGCGATAAATTCTGTGATAAAGATGTGTGTTGCTGACTCTCTCCGCGCAAGGGAAGGAGTTCCCTTGGTGAACGTTGGGAGCGTGTGCTGGGGCACGTGCTGCTGGAGGAGGCTCCTCCGTGGGAGGTGGTGGTAATAATTAAAGCACGCCCCACGAGTCAGCTCCAGTTCTCACCTCCAACTCTCAGCTCTTGACCTGGGCTATTTGAATTCTCTTGTGTTACACTGTACTATTAGCTCTGTCTTACAGGCTAGGGAACTGAAATAGCACGCTTTGGTAATCTGCCCAAAAGTCAGGCAGCAGCTAAGGTTGAGCAGTGGAGAAGCCAGTCATGAAAGCACCCCGGGGCTTTTCTGAAGTCACAGGTTGTGTGGGGTGTGGGTTGGGGAGGGGCCAAAGGGAAAAAAGTTGCTGGGGCTACTCGTTCAAGACCAAGAGTATCAGATTCAGTGGCGAGTCCACCACAGCTGAACTGCACAGGTGGCTGTGGACGGGGACTCCACCCCAGAGAGCTCAAAGGATAGGAGGCACACCACCCTCAGCCGTGCTCTCCTCCTCCTGCCCTGAGGATCCCCCCAGCACCTTTTCAGATCCTTCCAGGATTTAGGAAGAGATGCTATGTCATAGAGTGGGGATGGTGGGGAGGGAGGAGTCAGCTGTGAATCTTGGATACCCACACCAACCACACCCTTTGGACTCAGCGGCAAGAAGTGACCTCACCGTTAGCACCTGCCCCAGCTTGAAATAGGTGGAGAGCAGGACCACGCGGGGATGCTGTCCTGGCCTGCAAGACGCAATCCTGTCACACCCTAGTTGGCTTGATGGGGTGGGGAGCGGTCTTCCTGTGCCTCCGTTTACCTTGCCAACCGTTTTTTGAAACAAGAAGGCTTTTCCCTACCGTCCACAGTCTTGAGCTCACTTTGTACAGTGATACTTTCCTCCAGAAGCACAAGGAGGAGACTGAGGGTCCCATAGTTGGAGACCTCTGAAGCTGCACAGTGCTCCCCACATCCTTTAGTCTTCACTTCTGTCCCCCCACACCCTCCAGCCCCTATCTTGGAAACATTCTTTTCGCCTGCACTGAGGCGCCTTTAAGCCTGCTCAGCCCCGCCCTTGGTCCGCCCCGTCTGAGGCGGGACCCTCATGAAAACCCCTGGCCGGGTTTGAGCGCAACACTCCTGTTGCTGCCCCTGCCTGGAGCGCTACTGTCCAGCCCCCGTGAACGGTGAGCTGGAGAGCGGATCGGGGTCCGGGAAAGGAGCTTGGGGGACGGGGGAGAGGATTGTGCGGTCTGAAAGCACGAAGCTAGAGTTTGAGACTTGCTCTGGGAGCCTGAGGGGGTCAAAGGGCTGGTGCCAGGCAGGAGTCTGAGGACCGTCCTGCCCCACCCCACCCCATGCTGTAGGTCCTGTCCTCCAAATCTGACTTTCGGGCCACGAGGGTTGGTGAGGCTTGCGGGTGCATAGACGGGACGTCCGTCTTCATTAGGGGTTTGGATTTTAGAGCCGGGCCTCCATAGGAATTCGGGGGTGGGGGGGAGGCGGGCGGGAAGCCGGGCGCGGGTTGTGTTGTATTGGGTCCTCCCCCTGGTGCGTCCAGGGGCTGGTGCGTCCAGGCTGGTGCGTCCAGGGTCCCGGCGCGAGCTTGGAGTTCGAGCTCTACGTCTGCCGAGTTTTCATGGAACCCTTCACTTCCTGGTCCCTGGGAACACGTGTGGGCACCGCCTGCCCTCTCTTCTCCAAGGTCGCCTTTCCACCTGGCATTTTTGGCTCCAGAGTCACAGACGGGTGCTAGGGATCTCCGTGCGCGGCGCCACGCCGACGGCGACCTCGCTGTCTGCAGGGTAGCGTGGTCGTCTGGAGAACCCCATACCTGGAGGTTCTGGGGTTGTTGTCCTGACCAATTGCCTGGAATCCCTGATGGTGCACAATGGAAGGGTGGCTGCTTTCCAAGCGCCCCTATCCCTGTGCGGGCCCCTGCTGCCCCCACGCGTGCTCCCTGCTGCTGGGAAAGCCGGTGGTGGCCGCGGGCGGGCGGGCGGGCTGCCCAGACCACTGCGTCACCCCAGCGGCGGGCCGGCGGCGGGGGGTGACTCATCCAGAGCAACGGCCCAGGGCGTGGCGGTGGGGGCGGGGGCCGCGGCCTTGGGGCAGGACCTGTGGGCCGGAAGTGGACAGCAACCTTCTCCCGCCGATCTGCGCCCCCACCACCGCCGCCCCATTTCCCCAGCCGCCCCGCAGGCTTCCTGGAGGCTTTGGGGGCGATTGGTATCAGGGCATACGGAGGAAAGCGGGAGGAACTGGGATGGAATGTGGAGATCCGGTTGGGAGGAGACCTGTGGCCTGGACGGGCTCCCCACCACTCTCCAGGACTCCCCAGCACGGGACGGGCGGGGACAGCTCCCCATCTCCAGCCCTTCGCTCCTGTGGCACTGGGCAGACCTGGAGGTGCAGAGATAGCCCCGTTGGGGCGGGACTCTAAGGCTTCAGAGAAACACGTAATCGTTGTCCAGTTGCAGCCCCCGGGCATTGGTCTCTAATCCCTACTGCTTGCCGTCACCCTCCAGGATTGCCAGGTGTGGGCTCTCCAGCTCAGAACTCTGAGTGGTTCTTCGGAACTACTTCCTCCAGTCTGCTACCCTGCGCGCCTAAACTCCCCGCCTGCTCCAGTCGCTCTGGGAACCCACCCACAGGAATCCCCTGCACCTGGCGCTTCCTGAGCCCCCTGCGCTCCCAGCCTCTCCCCAACCCGACTGTTGTGGAGTGGGCGTTTCTGCTAGTGCCCCACCCTGACTCTGTTCCTGTGTTTGGTACACAGAAGCCATGGTAACGGCCCCCACCTCGGCCCCTCCTGCTGCGCAAGCTGTGTGGCTTCCTGTTTGTGCAGTTTCGACTTTCTTTTGTGCTCCCCACTCTTGGTGATGAGGGTGCTTGCCCCTGGTGGGCGGGGTGGGGGGGGCTGCCCTGAGGCGGCCCTCAGCCGAACAGCTTGCAAACTGCCTTCTGCCTTCTGTGTGTGGCACCTCACTTTATGACCTAGAGCCTCCATCATGCCCTCTCAAAGGAGCTCCAGTCCTAAATTTCAGTTGGGAAGTTCCCACATGTTTCATCTTCGCAGTGAATGGAGAGTCCCCTGGCTTTGCGAGGGAAAGCCCCCTCCTTAGGGCTGCCCTTTCTTTACCTCTGGCCTTTAGATGGGACAGAAGGGGTGAGAGGTAAGCCTTCAGCCTAGGGTCTGGGTGGGGCCGAGGGCTGCTTTGCCTTTCCCTCTAGCCTCGGAGAGCCGGACTTGTTCCCACGGCTGCAATTGGTGCTCCAGTTGAGGTTGCTTACTGCCAACTTACCCCCTATTGTGTCCAGCTGTTGCCTTCCCTTGGGCACACCTCCCACACCTGTCTTCCAACTGGGCATGGCTCATCCCCTAGGCCTTACAGGAGAGGGGAGGGGGGTAGGGTGTATCCCTTGGGGACCATGGGGTGGGGTTCTGCAGCAGCAACAGCAGCAGCCAAAGCCCATCAGCTGCCGCCTGCATGTGGAGGTGGGAAGGAGCAGCAGCTGCTGGCCAGGCCGAACCCAGCTGGGCCTGCCCTCCCCAGGGCTCCACCCCATGGCTCTAGCACCTCCAGGGCAGTGGCCCCAGAGTGGAGCAGATAACCGACAGCTGGAGGCCAAGACCCAGTTGGCTGTGTCTAAGCGCCTGGGGGAGGGGAACTGGGCAGTGCTCCTCAGCCCAGAGGTGGGTCTGGCAGGCCAAATGTGCCCTGCCTAGGTGGTGCCAGTGGCAGGGTTAGTGCATGGGTCTGGCTCTGAGCCCTTCTCTGCCCTGGGAGCCCTGATGGCTGGGTTCACCATTACTCTGTCCTCATTTGCCATGGGCCAGGGTAATCCGTGGGCTGTGGACCTCCCAGGCCCTGGAAACACAACCCTGGGGCCCGGGCGACCAGGATGAAGCTGCTGCCAGGCAGGATGGCCATAAAGCAGGCCAGGAAGGGCAGCAGCTTGGTGTCCCCTTTTCCTGCCAGGCTGGTGAGGAAGCTGCCTCCTTCTCATCAGGGCTCTGTCTCTGGATCATCCCGCGCCTGCCTGCCATGCTGCTGATTGTGCCTGCCTGGGGCTGGTGGTCTGGGTCAGGCCTCTGACTGACATTTATCTGGCCCAGCTTTTGGGCTGCAGGAAGTGGAGGGAGTGGCTTGGTCTTCATAAGATTTAAAAATAGCTTATTTCGGGGAAGGATCTTTGTTGGAAACCCAGCTCCCTAAGCCGGGTTGAAAGGGGCAGCCATGTTTGGGGTGGGAGACTGGCCTCGAGGGGGGCTGCAGCCTGGCACCCTGTGTCCTAGCAGAGCCCCACTGAGAGGGGAGCCAGGGAACCAGAGTGCTTTCATCCCTGACGTATGGCTGATCTGGAGCTGGCCGGAGGGAGAAAGGGCAGCAGGTCCAGGGCACCCCCTTCTGTAGGCACTGAGACAGAAACAGGGAGAAGAGCACATCCAGGGAGTGGAGTGGGCTGCGGGTGAGGGCTGTGTCCTGACTGCTTTGCTCAGCAGGCCCCTGTGGGTGGTGGACCCAGGTGGTGTGAGGTGGTGGGTGGGGGCACCATGCCCACAGAGGGAGCTGCCAGCCTAAGCCAGCGGTCAGAAAACTACCCAGTTCCTACTAATCAACGACCTCCAATTAAGAAAAAAACCCTGCCGTGTATTTTCCCATCCTTGCCAGGTTTCCCTTAAAACGCCAGCCAGGACTTCTCTATTAGTCTCCAGTTTCTGCCATTGCATGTTACACACTTGAGCCACATGGGTATAGTATCACACATCTTTAGAGATCTGTCTCATTGGCCTTAGTCCCAGGGTCACAGGGCTGCAGTCCTTCGGGGGCAAGGAGGCTTTGGGGAGAAGCTTTCCTCACCTCTGCTGGCTGCCAGAGGTTACCTGCATTGCTTGGCTCACGTGACCCTGCGTGATCTGGTCTCTGCTTCCTCCCTTCCTTCTCCTGCTCTGACTCACCTGCCTCCATCTTCCCCCTAGCAAGGCCCCCTTGTGACTACGTTGGGCCCAAACTGATGGTCAGAATCATTTCCCCATCTCAAGAGCCTTCGCTTTAGTCCTATCTGTAAAGTCCCTTTTAGTCACGAAAGGTTAACATATCCACAAGTTCTGCGAATTAGGACATCAGCCCCTTGAGGGAGACATGATTCTGTCTACCACAGCTCTCAGAAGGGAAAGTACAGTTTGGGCTTTTTTTTTTTTAACCTTTTCTCGTGCAAAATTCCTATTGTTTGTTAAAATCTGTTAGGAACCTACTGAGGGGCTGGCATTGTGGCACCATGCACTAAACTGCTACTTGGGATGTTGGCAGCCCAAATGGGTACCGATTCGTGTTCTGGCTGCTTCACTTGCAACCCAGCTCCTTGCTTATGTGCCTGGGAAAGCAGAGGAAAATGGTCCAGGTTCCTGGGTCTCTGCATGCATGTGAAGCTGCTGGCTCCTGGCTTCAGCCTGCACAGCTCTGGCATGGCAGCCATTTGGATAGTGAACCAGTGGCTGGATCTCTCTCTTTCCTTCCGCCCCTGTACCGCCTTTCAGAAGAGAAATAAATTCTTGATAAAAGCAACAACAGAATGCAGATACTCAAAGAAGTCTTCCTAGGCTGCTTGTGTCCATCCTTTATTTCCCACAATGTGTGATTTGAGCTTTGGAATGCGTTATCAATTGGATGCGGTCCGTATCCTTTTATATCATTCCTCTTGTCTCCCTGATGGCGTTGCAGGCACTTTGGGACCCAGGACTTCTGGGTTTTCTGTAATCTTTAGATTACAGAAAGAGCAGGTGCTCAACTGAAATGCAGTTATCATCTGACAGTCCCGGCGGGTCCTCCAGCTCCTGCCCTAGGCTTCCCAGACTGCTCCCTGTTCTTATTCCTTTCTGTGTGAGTCATTGTCTTTCCCAGGGCTGTTAAGAGTAGGGTTTGCTGGAAATGAGCACTTTGTCCTTGCTAAAGCCAGCTACCTCAAATGAGAAGCCAAACCCCCATTTACCTAACATTCTTTCCCAGTGGGTTTGTATTTCATTATAGTAGTGGATCTATTTGTTTAAATGAGATCTGTAGTAAAGAATCTATGTGAGACGCGAAACTGCTTGTTATAGGGCTACCGGGACCCAGAGACCGCCTGTGTCCCACAGTGCCTTCCAAGGTTCTGCTAGGCTATTGCAGACAGTTGGTGCCATGGGCTGGTGTTTGGCCTGTCGGTGAAAATGGCCCTTGAGCTGCACATATCCCCATTCAGGGCTCTGCTGGCGTTCCAGCTCTGCTTCTGCTTCTGTTCCAGCTCCCTGCTCATCCGTGCCTGGGGAGGCAGCAGGTGGTGGCTCCAGGGCTTTGGTCTCTGCTACCCACAGGGGAGACTCGAATCACCACGTTCAGGATTCCTGGAATCCCTGGCTGTTGTGGGTTGCTGCGGAGTGACCCATCAGATGGAAAATTTCTGTCAGTCTCTCTCTCTCTGCATTTCAAATAAATGAAACATACTTCTTTTTTGAAGTTTGTGGAACATGGAATTATAAAGGATAAGTTTATTTTGATGCATTTTAAAAATCAGTGTATACAAGGGGATGTTCAAAAAGCTTATTAAGTGTGAATTATGAAGAAAAATTATGCATGATTTTCAAAACTGTATTGCATCAAATTATAGGCATCTGAATTCTGTTTTTCCCTGAGTTCTTTGCGATACCTGGTATTCTAGCCTGTGGCCAGGGGTCCAGGTGAGATTCTCCCTTCACTTAACAGCAGTTCTCGTCCTTCCCTTTTGCACTCGGGAGGTGTGTATGTCCTCATAGGCCAGAGTCCCTTGCCTCACAGGCCTGGGTGTGTCCTCTCCCCAGCTCCCCAAAGCCGTCACCGTCCTTCAGAATGGCCAACCGGGGACCTGCGTACGGCCTGAGCCGGGAGGTGCAGCAGAAGATTGAGAAGCAGTATGACGCAGACCTAGAGCAGATCCTGATCCAGTGGATCACCACACAGTGCCGCAAGGACGTGGGGCGGCCTCAGCCGGGACGCGAGAACTTCCAGAACTGGCTCAAGGATGGCACGGTGAGATCTGGGCCTCCAGTGAAGAAGGGGAGCCTGGGAGAACACAGCCCCAACTCTTAGCCTTTGTACCCTTGTGGAAGATGTGCAAGCCCCAGGCTTGCCTCCCCCCTCATCAAGGGAAGGGTAAGGGTGAACCCACCCCCTCCCTCGTTCTTCTTCCCAATGGAGTGAAGAGCTGGGGAGGTCTACCTTAGATAGAACTGGAATAACAAGGCAAAGACTAAACCCTGGCCTTTCCCTCTGGGCCCCGAGGCAGGGACTGGGCGAGAAGGACCCTAAGGTTCAGTCCAGGTGAAGATTCCAGACTATCTTTAGGCCAGAGAAGAGTCTCTGGTTCACTGCCTCTGGTGCTCAGCCTGGTGCATGCTCTTCTATGGTAGACACGTTCTCATCTCTGCACACCTGCTATCCTTACCCAGGTGCTGTGTGAGCTCATTAATGGCCTGTACCCTGAGGGACAGATCCCAGTTAAGAAGATCCAGGCTTCTACCATGGCCTTCAAGCAGATGGAACAAATCTCCCAGTTCCTGCAGGCAGCTGAGCGCTATGGCATCAACACCACCGACATCTTCCAGACGGTGGACCTTTGGGAAGGTGGGCCAGGGGCTGTCAGGAGAACAGTGATTGGGCTGGGTCACCTTGAACAGGAGAGGACAGGTTTCCGGCTCCTGAGGAGTGTGTGCGTGTGTGCGTGTGTACATTTGTACTTCATGGAGGAGTTAACCGTGTATGGGTTGGGTTGGACAAACTAATGAAGATTAAGAGTAAAGGGAATTAGGAAGCCAGGCTTGCTCATTAGGCCGTAGAGGTGGAACCCTGGCATCTAGGATCCCAGACCTGCTGAGACCCAACACTCACCTTGCCACCTTCTTTCCAGGAAAGAACATGGCCTGTGTGCAGCGGACGCTGATGAACCTGGGTGGGCTGGCGGTAGCCCGGAATGATGGGCTCTTCTCTGGGGACCCCAACTGGTTTCCTAAGTAAGTCTTGTGGGTCAGCCACTAGCTGGACAGGGGGCAATACTCCTGCATGTTTCTGTCCCTGGGAAACAACTGATGTCCCCGCAGCAGCTGGCCTTTTGCAAAGCACTTTGACATGCTTCATCTGACTCCTTCCTCACTACTCTGCCTGGGTGGCAAGTGACTATCTCTTTGGAGAAATGAGAAGGTGGCTTCAGAGCTCAAGGCTCTTAGGAGCAGAGCTGTCACCAGCCCATGAGTCCACGGCAGAGCCTGGGCTAGGCCAGGATGGGGGATGTTTGACTGGAATGACCTCTGAGGACGCCTCCTAACTGGTGCTCCTTTCCCTTCCAGGAAATCCAAGGAGAACCCCCGGAACTTCTCAGACAACCAGCTGCAGGAGGGCAAGAACGTGATTGGCTTACAGATGGGCACCAACCGCGGGGCGTCCCAGGCAGGCATGACTGGCTACGGGATGCCTCGCCAGATCCTCTGATGCCACCCACCTGCCCTGCCTGCCCATGGATGGTTAATATATATGTGTATATATATTTTAGCAGTGACATTCCCTGAGAACCCCCAGAGTTCTCCAGCTCTCTTCTCTGCTAGGGTAGGGCTCCAGCTTGCCCTTTACCCCTGGGGGTGCCTGATGAGGGCTTCTCCTCCTGTGCTTACTACTACATTCCTTCCCCTACACTCATCTCCAAACTGGACCAATTGGCCTTCTCTCTTTGGGACCAACATTTGGGAGCATTGGCTGCCCCACCTCCTCCCAACACCCTACCCCTTGCCCTTTCCTCTTTCCCTCTGGCCTCTCCTGCCCCTGGGCTGGTGCTCTTGATCCATCCCTTGGCTTAGAGTCAGCTGCTTTCTGATGCTGGGCAGGCCTCCCTTCCACAAGTATGTCTCTTCCCTCAGCTACAGCTGCAGGGACTTAATTTATAGGGAGGGGCTTGTGGCAGCTGCCACCCCAGCCACAGCTGGACTGTGCTCACCACACAGTCTGGGGCTGCCTTCCCTGGCACAGGGCCCCTTGGCTTCTCATTTTCCATTCCCCTCACTGTGGCCAAGGGGTGGGAGGGGTGAGACAGAGGAGGGAGGGCTGCCCACCATGGTCTGGGGCTTAAGGAGGAGGAGGAGTTTGCTGATTTAAATAAAGAATCCCAGCCTTTGTTTTTGGATGAACTCTACCTGTGTCTGTGGCTGCTGTGTCTCCTGAGGGGGAGGGAGGAATAGTGGGCAGAGTGTAGTGAATGGTACAGGAACAAGGGCAAAGGTGAGAGGAGGTTATGCTGCTCAGTCCTAACTCCAGTCTCTTCCCCAGTCTCTGTCACACTGGGTAAAGGAGAGGGTGGGATGGGACCTCACAGCTGCTGCCCTAAGATGCGGAGTCCACGGTGAAGGATCTCAGAGCAGTGTCTCCCTGTCCGGTGAGCTGAGCAATGCTGCCTAGTGCTCAGCTTCTGCAAGAGGGAGGGTAAGGCTGACTGTCCACACAGGCCTGAGCTGGACAGGTGCAGTGTCTCCAGGGGGAGGTCTGCAGCAGAGGGGCCTGTGTTGGAGTTGGTCAGACCTGCTGAGGGCTGCAGTGATGAAGTGAAGGATTGACTTTGAAAGGCGGTGTTACTGAGATCTTGTATCCACTGGTTTGCTCCTCAGATGGCTGCCAAGGCCAGGGCTTTGTCAGACAGAAGCCAGGGACTTCTCATATATGGGTGTGGGGGTTCTTGCACTTAGGCCATCTTCCGCTGCCTCCCTAGGAGCATTTGCAGGGAGCTGGATCAGAAGTGGGGCAGTCGGGACTCAAACCAGCACCCAAATGGAATGCTGGTTTTATAGATGGCTATTTAACTTGCTACACCACAATGTCTGCCTTCACAGCTTCCCTTTTAGAAGGGTGATTTTGGACCAAAATCATAGGGTCAAGTGGTCTTCAGCCCTGACCAAGGCATGGCTATTGATCAAGTTTTCAACTCCTTGATATTATAGGTACTCCAAGACTTCCCCAAAACACTGTTGTCTTCTCCAGGAAAACTTGAGGGTCATTCAGCTTCCCCAATGTGGCCCTGGCTCCCGTCAGCCAGCCCCTGAATCCTTTGTCTTTCTCACTTTTTTTTTTTTTTGCTTGAAATAACTGTCTCCTGAGGAGAAAAACCCAACCTCTTGTTGGGATGGGAGCTCGTTCAGCAGTTCTAACCCGAAAGCTTTCACTTCTGCCTTCCACGTGAGCCCCAGCCCGTATGAGGCCGCATCTTCTCAGGAGCGCTACTGTGCGCCAGGCCACTGGTGGTGCTTTACTCTCAGCCCGCCCGTGCACTGTGGGAGAGACAGGATTTGCTTGCTCCCTGAACAACCCCGGGCTGTGGCACAGATAAGATAGCTGTAGCCTATGTGCAAATTCCCAAGGCATGAGCTGTCCCCCACCCCTTTTGTCTCCCATTCCGGAAGGCTTTGTGGAATGCCAGTGAGAGAGAATGATGTCATCACAGAGAAAACATTGAAGGTACTGATATTGTTACTAAAAAAACAAACCGCATGCAACTTTGCCTGGTTTAACCATTTATAGTTCCAGATCTATGCTCACGCTTTTTTACAGACCCCTTGAGACATGCAGTGGGCTCTAGCACAAAACTCATCAGCTGCTTTGTCCCAGCAGATGCTCAGAGATGTCTGGGGGTCAGGGGGCGGTGGATGTCACTATTAATTTCCCCATGTTGCCCCGGACACAGGCTCTTAGAAGTTTGCTCAGTGCCACATCGTCATTCCGGGTAGGAGCAGAGATTTGAGCCCCAGTCCATCTGGCCTTGGGGCCAGCAGATTCTGGGTGCTGTTGCAGGCTCCAACAGTAGTGAGGTTGAGGCAGACCTAAGGACAAGGGGTGCTGGTGGGTGGTGCGGCATCTGTAACCCGAGGTTGTCGTGAGGGACACTTGGGGAAAGCATTTGCATAGTGAACGCTGGATCATGTTTAGTACAACAAGTGATGGCAGTGCTCTGCCCTTCAACACTGCCTTGCCGACACTCCCCCCCATGCCAGGCCAGAGACCCCTGGCATGTGCCCACCCCTCATGCCTTGTAGCAGCTGATTTTCAAGACCAAGGCTGATTGATGTTCACATTTCAGCTGCAACTGCCAGCTCCCGAACTTTGTGACGCATCTGGCTGTCCTGCCTCGGTCCCATGCAGGTCCAGCTCTTCAGGAACTGGCCTGCGCTGACGTCTCAAAGTTTCATTTTCTGTTTGTTGACTTTTTAGCATGTTGTCCCCACTAAGGCCATTGTTTTGTCTCTGAGGTGGCTTCTTTGATTTCTCTGGGTCACTCAGAGCCTAGAATGGGTCCTGGCCCTCGGGTCAGAGAGCAGAGCCCCTCTACAGTCAGTACCCCCTTGTCTTGGTGTCCTCTGTGCTACTGCCAGCAACACTGGCAGGACCGCTCCTGCTGCCTGGAACAATCTCCTTGCAGGTGTCTCCAGCCTCTCTCCCTTATCTCCTTCTGTCTTTGTTCCAATGTCACCTTCCCTGATTGCTTTATTTAAAGCTGTACACTCCACCCTCCGCCTGCACCCCTCCTCCTCCCCTGCTTCATTTATCACCTCGTGACACCCAGTGTATTTTCCTTATTTCTGTCTCCACCCACAGGGTGCACACTACCTGGAGGAGGTTTTTGTTGGCTTTGTCCATGTAAGGGAGGAATTGTAGGCACTGGATAAATATTTGTGGAATGAATGAGTCGATCAGCATACTACCATCATACTCCTCAGCCCTCTGGGCCTGATAACGGTGACCAGCCAGACCAGGGTCCAAGTCACCTAGCCTGTCTTGCAGCTTCCAGTCCTTCTCCGTTCATTTCCAAAAGACAACAATGCAAGATGCCATGCTCCCTCCAGCTAGAGGAATGGAGGTCAGGGAGTGGCAGAGGGCCCTGTGTTCTGGGTAGATGCAAGACACGTTGAGGCTTTGGATAGAATGCATGGGAGGAGGGCAGGAGGACCTGGGAGGAGCTGGCTTGGGCTTGAGAGTGGAAAATCACTGCGGAGTTGGAAGGAAGAGTAGACGTGGCCTGTGGTGGCCAATGGGAAGGAGAGATATGGAAGACTGGCAGGGAGGAGGCGGAAGAGGAGAGGGTGGAGGAGGAAGAAAGCTTCAGACGCCCCGCCCACTTGGGCTCACCTGTGCAGTCTCTTCCACGGGTGTGTGAATGTGCCTCCAGGTGTGTGAGAATTCCCGGGAATCCGGGGAGGAGGGTGTGCAGGTGAGGGACTGAGTCTGTGGGGTGTGTGGAGGTTGCCTGTGAGTGCGAGTTTGCTAAGGACTGAAGTTCATGGGTGCAGAGAGGCGTTCCTTCTCTTTGTGTGGGCGTCTGTGTTTGTACACGGCTCTGGGAAGAACAATATGTCCCGTTCCTGCTTCCACGGCTGAAGGAGGCTTTGGAGGGCTTGGCAAAAGGCCCAAGGAGCAGCCGAACAGGGAAAGGGCTGGACAGCAGGACCCCAGGGAGGGGCCAACCGTGGGCCTGGGATTAAATTTATAGAACACACTGAAAGGGTAAATTAGTAACTATCTCCTTGCAAACAAATGGGTTTCAGTCCTGGCAGCCAGGTAGGTAGTCTAGAGGAAAACGCATTGAAGCTGCATCTGGAGAAATTTGGGTTGGACAAAAACAAATGATCCACTGGAGCCCGAAGGCCTTGAGCCTCTGGAATCCGCTCTGTACGGAGACAGATCTCAACTTCTCGCAGAAGAGAGGGCTGTTCTGCTGGGAGCACTGTTAAACTCCCTGGTGTTTCCACTTCCAGATTCATGCATGCACTTAACAGCTAGGGCCCTGTGGGGACACGGAGTTGTGGACATACACTTCCCCTCTCTCCCATGGAGGGTAGAGAACGTGTAGATAAGAGTGTGCTGAGGCAGGAAGCCCATGTGCCTTTGGAGAAAGGTACATGGAGAGCTCTGTGGCAAGGTTGCTGCCTTGCTCTCAAGGCCCTGGCTGCATTCCTGAATGGTGACAGTGTGTGTGTGTGTGTGTGTGTGGGGGGGTGATGTCATGAGAGGCCTCAGCTGCACATCTCCCTGCTCATCACCCCTGACCCAGCCTCGGGAAGTCTGCTGTGTGTGTGGTGGTGGGGGCGGGGTCCTCTGGAAGCCTGGCAGTTGCTCTGTGGTCAGAGGTCAAGTGCCTGTGCAGGATGAGGGGCCTGGGCTGGGGGTGGGCTGAGAGACCTGAGGCAGAGTGAGAACTGGAGATGAGGCAGGAGCAGAAACACAACACTGGGCCCAGAGGTGGGTAGCAGGGGTCACACAAACACACAGACACACGGTGTTACACCGTTTCACCCCTCTGGTCCAAGACCTGAACTTTGGATTGGATTTTTATCAAGGAGGATGAAACCACAATGATGATGTTCTGGCATATTTTCTGCTAGTTGTGTTACTAAGATGTTTATTAGCATTTTGAGTTTGTTCTTTCATATTTTTTTGTGCTTTCACATTTCAATAGATAATTCTTAAGTTATTTGAAAGACAGAGAATGAAAGAGAGGGAGAATGAATTCCAGTCACCCAATGGCACCGCCAAAACCAGCAACCTAGAACTTCATCTGGGTCTCCCACATGGGTGGCAGGGGTCTAAATTCTTGGACAATTTTCTGCTGCCTTCCCAGGTGCATTAGTGGCAAGCTGCATTGGCTAGTTCCCAAATAATTATTTTTTAAAAAAAGATCTAGTTGTTTAAAAACAGAATTACAGAGAGAGAGGGAGAGACTGAGAGAGGAGAGAGAGAGAGCTGTCTTTTGTTTGTTAGTTCACTCCCCAGATGGTTGTAATGGTTGGGGCTTGGCCAGGCCAAAGCCAGGAGCCAGAAACTTCTTACAGGTCTCCCATGTGAGTTTAGGGACCCAAGAACTTGGGTTATCCTCTGCTGTTTCCCAGGCTATTGTCAGGAAGCTGGAGCACAAGTGGAGCAGCTAGAGCCGAGTTCCTACACAGGATGCTGGCATCACAGGTAATAGCTTTGCTTGCTATACCACAATGTCACCTCCCTTCCCCAAAGACTATGTCTTGACCACCTATCTAAGGTGAGGCTGGATGCTGGGAGATCTAGCAGCTTAACAGGACAGTCTCTGTTCTCTTGGGAGGAGTCAATTATAAATCAAGGTGATCCTGGCAGGATCAAGGATCTAGGGGTGTGCAATGG